ACCTACGACCTCAGGGATGAGAGCCGCACGCTGAAGCCACTAGACCAACACTGCTTAATATATAGCCTAGACAAATTTAATAAAGCATTATTATAATAATACAAGCTAATAACAGACTCAACACTAATTACTGCTTAATCGATGATGACGTATATACATGACGCAATTTCGCATCTTAATTGCAATAGAAATTGTATTGTACGTATAATTAGAAAATGCATACAAAATTAAGCCTATGAAATTGTGAATACATAGTTACAAATATTAAACATTAAATGAAGGATGATGTCCAGTTTTGAAGTATTTGAAAAAAACCATCAGCAATTTGGACTCGTAACTCGTCTGGTGTGCCACCAAAAGTCAAAAAGCTGTACTGAAGGCATTTAGAAATCTCTAACAGTGGAACTATTTTACAAAAAGGAGCTACAAATACTGATTTAAAACTTATAAGTAAAAGCATTCTTGTCTTTTTTATTTGATTCTTTGCGTTTCGGAGAAGACTGCCAATACGCACAATACGCTGGCTACAGTCCCCCAGAAGGTTAAACATAGAAGTTCAAGGGTATTGACAGCGAAGTACAGGCTGTACGTTGTCACTACAAAGGACTACAAGTTGGCATACTAGAGTCTATATTTATATCGTACTCCTACAGCCAACTTAAATAACAAAAATAACTTCAAAAAACAACTATACTAAAGATATGGCCAAAAATGGATAATATTTACCAAAAAGGTGCAAACATTTATGAAACTTAGAAAGGAAAATCAATTAAAAAGTATTAGATACATTTAAGTAAGTAATACCTGATTTGGCTGTATTGTGTGATGGTGTAAAAGTGAGGGTATTTACGTAATGGTTTGTATGTGGGGTGAGCTCATGATTCTGGTTACTTAACACTATGAATATCTAATTTTTAGAAATTCTTTAGCGGCGCTGAGCACTTTTTATGGGTAAAAACTTTCAAACTTGCGTCAGGGTCACTATGCTGATCGAAAAAGCGTAAGATCGAGGGGAAGGGAGAGGAACTAGTATCTCCCCTTCTTTCTCCCCTCCCCTCTAGTGTCTGCTCTGTTACAGGGCGGCTGCGCGAATGACCGTGTGTGTTTATGTACAGGTCCCCACGCGTATCCAAGGATGGTGACAGCTGATTGCTTGACTGTTGTGTAGTAAATACACTGTTGTGTATTCGTAAATGTGAATTGTTTAAATTATGGAAATCGAACAAAGTGAATCTATTAATAAAAAAAGTGATGATGAAGTAGTGAAAGCAAATGAGTACGGTCTTTATTAGACATTTAAATAGGTTCGAATCAAAACTGTTTGTTTCTTACTTCAGTTATCATAAACCAATTGTATCAGTTGTAAAAATTTGCGATGATGATTCTGATAATAACGATGGTGTAAAAGTCGTCGAAATTATGGATGGAAGTTGATTTTTCTAAGAGGTAAAATTTAATGTAATATATAAATAACGATATAATATTATAAATAACAACATATAAATTGTCATATTTGTGTACGATAGCGCAATAAATAAACATTGTATTCTACCTCATAAATGATAGTACTTTTATACTTATAATTAAACACAACGTTAATATATGAAGTTTTCCTCTGCCGGCACTCCCGGAGTGCTCCCGTTGTTTTTTTATGTAACAGGGCAAACTGGCAGGGGTCTCACCTTAAGTGATACCGCCGCCGCACATAGACACTTAACTTTCAAGAGGGCTCGCAAATGCGTTGCTGGCCTTTAATAAGACACTGAGGATACTGCCACGGCCGTTGAGACCTTGTAAACATAATAACATAACATATATTTACACGATACCTGTATAGCAGACTGTATGGCGTCTATCACTACTATCCTTTAATGTACCCAACATTATTTGTCTTAGGGATGGTCTTCAATAAATTAGAAATAAGACGGGACTTCCAGTTGCCTACTACGTACTGAAAGTCTTAAGAGGTGTAGTGTGCAACCCAAGTGTACTCCAAGAACTGGGTTTCTTAGTACCTATGGGATATGTGCGACAGCAAAGGCCTAGGTTATTTGCGATACCAAGGGCAAGAACCAGTCTGTTGCACAGATCCCCGTTATCAAAGACGTTGCGCCTACTGAATGCTGTCTCCGACACTATCGACATATTTATATGTTCGCCGAGTGAATTCACAGTAGCGATATTGTGTATTTAATATTATATATGTACTTTATTATATTTATTAAATGTTTCTCGACACTATCGTATTGGCATACCCTGTAAGGATAATTTATGTGTTTCTGTAATTAATTGTTTTTTAAAACACCTTTAGTTACCTTAACTTAGATTAACTTAAAATCTTACTAAATGTATTATGAAACTGTTAATCCTCAACAACAACTGCGTAGGGATATGCTATGACCAGTATTGGGGATTTAAATAAAACAAAATTGATTTTTAATATTTAATAAAAATCTCTTTTGACTTGAACACAATCACTAAATTACAGACAAATGTGTAACATTGATTATTCGTTTTAACATCAGTCGAGCTTACAGTACGTACAAAATAAAAACTCGCTGATTAGAACAATTATAAATAATATAATACATTTATTATATAAAGCGTGATAAATAAAATATTTACAGTGTTTGATCACATTGATAATTTCATAGTGCCACGCCTTCTTAATGCTATATTGGTTCGGCATTATATGAAAGCGTAATATTTTTTACATCGTAATGTCGTGTGTATTAATTTACATAGTATTTATATCTACTGTAAAATCAAAATATATCCACTCAATTTATACCGCTTTGGGCGAATTATTAAACGTGGACCGTGAAATTTTATAATTTTTTATAAATTAACAGGAAATCCAGCAATACTTTCATATTTAATAAAGTTTTCCTGTAAAATGGTTACCATGGTAACAATGGTAGTATGATGATCCAAATTTTATAATTACGTTCACTTTCATATTGCATATATAATTTTATTTATAATTTAATGTGCTTCATTCAATACAAGATTAAATTCGCTTGAACTATCGTCTTTATTACTTTGCAATAAGGTGTATTTTACACAAATAACTTAATATAAAACACCAAATTTTTGTCGTATTGAGTAGGTTTATAAAACAACAAATAACTTTATTCAGAACTACTTCACACCAAGAGTATTTAAAATGGCAGCAATTGTATTTACATAACCATATATCTATTTACATAATATACAAGTTCCAACAACTATAAACAATTTCTGATACATCTACTTATGTTTAAGGTTTTGTTGGACCATAAGGTTTATTAAAAGTGCAAGCCTTAGTCAGGTAAAAATTACGCTTCATTTTTTGTTTCAGCTAAGGTATTCCAAGTCTCTCTTATATGTTTAAATTATTAATAATTTATTGTTTGATGAAAAGTTTTGGGTCGTAAACTTAGAAACTTATTTTTTGATGTTTTTAAAACAAACTGTTAATGGGCATTGTCTACGAAGTAATCTAGTATCTGTCATTTTGTTTGACATTTTATTTAAATTAACTTCACGCTGATATATAAAAACTATACCGATCTTACAGTCAATTACCTAATCTTTAAAAGCCACTTTAATATTTTTTTACTCAAAAAATTGTATTACTAAAACTGTATTTGTTACCTGAATGCGGCTTATATTTGTCAGCAAAGCACCAAACATATGTAAAAAAGCCGAAAATAGTAACGTGATTATATTTGTAGAACTATAGAGCCTTTAAACCAACGTCAAATGAACTGAACAAATTAAAGGTTCAGCCTTTCTGGTTTATCAACAATTACTGTTTCTATGAAACTTGCAATGGTTAACGTATACTTGCCTTTTATTTACAATATTTACACGGTCTTTAAGACAACGTTAGACATATTTTCGCTACTTGTTTGGAATGTCTATAAATATAATATACTAATGTCCAAATATATTTAAAAGAAATTTAACCGCCCGATAAGATAGTTTCACGACGGTAGATACAAACTTTCTAATGGCTATCAAAAATTATCAACGATGCAGAAATATCCCATTAAGAGTATGGAATATTAAAAGGAAATTAACTAATAATTTAATTTTTAAAAAGCTTACAATTTTGTAATATTATATACAAATGATAACATCAATTTTTTGCCCGCGTATATGTTTTACAATTCGCACTTATCTCATTCCGAAATCGATTTAGCGACTCACAGACTGTAACCTCTTTTTTTTCGTTTTTGAATCCAAATATTATTCAACTCTGTGCTAGGGAATCCAACGGCACCACCAGTTTTCCGTTTGAGTAGCTGAAACAAAGAATACTATTAATTGATTGAAGTTAAAAGTCATTCCGTTAGAAACCCAGACGATTGTAAAACAAAGAACGAATAACGAAATTAAATTACCTAACAATGTGCAAGTGTACTTGTGCAAAAATTTAGGAAAATACCTGTAAGGTATAGTAGCTGTTCTGGACTTAGCTCTGCTTGGCCTACAGGCTTCATCTGCAACCAAGAGAATTCTACTTCAGTTTAACAAAAGATCGACGACTAAAGCAACGAAAAATCAAATGAAAAGTATGTGTATGAAAAGTTGGAGAACATTTACTGTTTATCGACAGGGATTAATTAACTAGAAGTGCATGCTTCATTGTAGAGTAACGTAACAATACTTAAGACAAAGTTTGCAGAAGTAATATCTGCGATACCTTAATGAGAGAAGTTTGTATGGACTTTGTAGCGGTTCCTCCCACCGCATCTTTGTTAGGATTCGCTTTGGTTCTCGGGAGAATCAGCCAGTTTATGAGTTGATATAATGGATAGATAATTAAACAATCCATAATTTTGTTTAAAATTTAGGGCTTTGTTCCATTTATGGAAAGAATGACCAACGTGGACGCGCTCTGTTTTAAATTGTATTGGTTTTTGAATTTTGATTTTATATGAATCAGCTTCGGCGCCTACAGCTATGGGATATCTTTTAGAGTGGAAGTGAAGTGTTGCCTTACCATTGACCGGCTAACATCGTTGGGAGAGGCACGCATCGCATTTGACGGGCTCAGGTCTTCGCTTGCCTTGAGAGCCCTGCGATCCGGATTTACGCCGGAAAGTGTACCTAACGAGCAGACCTGAAATAAAACGGCGTACCGTTAACAAAACAAACAAAATACAACGAGCGCGTCCAAACGAAATACGCCCCTGGGCAGACGAAAGCGGACGAAAAAGATTTCATGACTCGATACCACTAGGATTCATTTGCGTTTGTAGGAATGTAATGTATGTGGGATTTTTCGAGTAATTGGAGTGTTACTAAGTATGTACTTGAGCTAAATACAGAATGAATGAAATGTTTATGAACAAAACAAAATAATTATGATTTACACTTGTAAGTGAGGCATGGTTAAGAGAAATTAAAATGAGAGCAAAATAAAGGAATTGGATGAAATCGTTTCAACTCACCAGTAAGGCCGGCTTTGTTAATGCTGTTAGAACTTGAAAAACCAGATATTTTTTTCCATGCTTTCTTATTCCAAAATCCTGTTGACTTTGCGTCACCACAACTTGAGCTGCGAGGTGAAGGAATTTCTCTAGGGCATCGTAATTGACAATCGTCAACGCCTAAAATTCGAACTCCTGCTCCGCGGGTTCCATAGGCCACAGCAGGTAAATGGGGCACAGAGCCAGTGGGTTTCCTTCGCAAGCTACCTACATAACTAGCACCACTACTACTTCCACTAAAACCGCTGTCTAAATCTGGAGGATTACAACTTGCTGGTGATAGTAGTTCATCCGTAGGCCCCACTCTCAATAGTTCCTCTATATTGTCTCTATCTTCAGCTCTTTCTGAGTCAGGTGACTCGCATTCAGGCATAAGCATAGCTTCTACACTTAAGTTTAACTCCCCTAATATTCTTTTATGTCTTGATTCTACTCGACGTACTTCTTCTTCGACAACACTTCTGTCAAGAGAAATAAGAGATTGTCTTGGAGCGTGTCTATGTTTTGGACATGTTCTTGAACCGTCTGTAATTTCTTCGTAAATATTTTCCTCTGTACCATATCGTGTTACGTAATTATGGCGAGCGGATCGCTCTCTCGGTAAGCCGCGTCCACGCTGTCGATTCGCTTTTCTCGACGACGATGGCATTGATAAATGATGGTCATAATAGGCGTATGAATAATCGACGGGCTCAAATCGCTCCATAGTAGCAGCAATATTGCTACGGTTCCATGATTGCGATGGTTGATCGCGTAATAAATTTATACCGGCGAGTCGGGCGGGTAAAATTTCATCAAGATCACGTGCACATCGCTCATCGAGAGATTGCGCACCATCGTCTTCTTCTCGCCTGTGTTTTCTATGCGGTCTGCGAGTTGTTTGACTACAGGGATGTCCTCTATCACTATCTGAGCCATGCTCATGATAGTCTGGTGTATGACTCCGATTAAATTCAAAACGATGCTTATTACAGTCACTTGTGTGATTAAAGTTATGTCTCAGACTGTAGTTTGAATTACCTTCATAATCTGAGCGATCATAACAAGGGCTATCATCAGCATTGCTACTATGGGCATGTGGACAGTCTGCCGCAATGCCCGATTCCGATGAGGGATAGTCGTGTACTTCGGCCGTAGTGAAAACTCTTTCATCCGGGCGAGCCGGTTCTGACACTGCATGTCGATGATGAGGTCGGGGCCTTGTGTTTTCTCTGCAGCTCGCAAAGGTCCTCTGCAGAGGCGTTTGATGAGAATATTGTAGACAACGAGAGTTGAACACCGCCTCCCCAGACTCGTCGGGGCTCGGCGGCGCACTGCGTGATTCCATGGCTCATCCTCTCATGTCAACATGTATACCTGTAAAAACAAACAACTAATCAGTAAAAATAAACAAAAAAGAAAATGTAAATAAAATTTTGCAATACTGTAAGTAAAAGCCCGGGGGCATTGAATCCGAAATTACAAGCCCCTGATAAGGGTAGGGTAAGTGACGATCAACACGGCAGCCGACGTCGATATATCATCATCAGTCGCCGCGTAATAAATTGGGGCTTTGCTCCGTGTTTATTGTTGCATATTGCACAAATAAAAATATTGAATAGAACATATGAGAGGTCACTATGTTCGTATGCCTCTATGTGCAATTTTGTTGGATATAAAACAGACAAGAATGGTGAATAGGCAATTGAAATACGTGTATTTCAGTCAGTAAAAATAAATGAGAGGGGTTTATGAAAATTATGCAAAGTATAATGATAACAAATCTTATCATAGAATAATACCGCATTGCAATTTTATTGCGATCTCGCTTAAATTTATTGTACGCATTCCAGACCAATTTATTACGATAACGATAATAAGTGTCCGTGAACTAGACGCCGAGGGAGCGGGGTTTACCCTCGAGTGTCGCCCGTTGTCATGACAACGGATCTGTTCCCGTGGTATTGTGGCGCTTCCGCCCAATATTCCTTGCATCTAAATCATCATCAACGTTGGGAATAAGGGCCCGTTGACCGCTCGCAATGACAATTTGTTGTAATACACTGAGATTTCTCGGCCCAATAAAGACATCCTATCAGGGATATGGTACACTTTCTAGAACTTTTTATGAACATCTTGTCTTATTATAAATTGTAGCTTTATAAGAGAGAGCTTTATATTTATTTCTCAACAACATCTTAGAACTGTAAAAATTATAGGAAAGATTCAAGATATTTTTGAAATAACTAAATTGAAAACGTTACTTAAAACAGTCGTTTCATAATCTTTTGTTTTACATTTTCGTGGTAATTATTTAATTTTATTGCGGACTTTATAGCTCCGTGCCGCGGAAGACCACCTTGGTTAATTTGATAATATTAATTTATTGGTTGCCTTCCAAAACCAGCTACTTTGGTAAATGTTTTTATTGAATTAAGCATGATCTATAATTAAATTTTACTATTATAAGATACAACCTTGGGGACGTGGACTTATTAAGGATTCGAACGAGAATGTAAGTGCGTGCTCCTATGTCACCATGCCTCCTGCTGATAGAGGACAAATCTTTGTTTTTAATTTATTTTTTATTATTTATTACTTAAGATGTCATGTGGAACATGGTGTATTGGTTGCAGCTCCTTACAAACGTTGTGTAAAACAAAAGACTTGGCGATTAAAAAGAGTGGCGGAGAGTTTATTGCCAGTTCTTTTCTACCGTTCGACGCCGTTGATTTGAGAACTGGCAGTAAATGTAAAATTAGGAGTAAAAATCCTATTTCGCGACAGCGACTATGTTCATGTGTATTAAAAAAAGTGCGTGCGTACAAAGTACACAAGTCAGAAGTACTTTGGCAAACTAATTTTTAACTCTTGTTCATATTTATACAAATCTAAAACTTTAGATTTCCGAGGCTTATAGGGAGGGAAAAAGGAAGATATGTCAGGAATTTAATGAATTTAATTGTCATGAAAATATTAAAAGTGTCGAAAATTAAAACAAATAATAAAATTAATTCTTTTAATTTACTTCTTCGATAATAAAAACACGTGGCATTTTAATTTACAATTCATCATTTGAGATTTCAATAAATTTTGCATAAAATATAAAATACTAATATTTCATCAATTCTATTTTCGAAATTTTACTTTTTAAAAATAGAATTTCTCAATCGCCCTCTCCCTTTTCTTCGACAAAAACGTTGCACATTTTCGTGACGTTCCGTAAAAATTTTACCCTCATGCGCCTAAAGAAGTTTCACTCCAAAAATAATACTTATTTAACTGACACTTATGAATCATAGCGTTGTGATAAAAGTATGTATTTGTAAACACAGAATATTATTAGAATGCGATATCAGCAAATTTTGTCTCCCCATCCACCCTCGCCATATAGACAAGTTATGAGACTGGTTTGGGGTAAAAATATGCAATATTGCTTTTCAAGTCACATTCACGATCGAATATATTTTAAACATCGCTTGAACTTTCTCTTATTCAATTCTACGGATTCTAAAAAATATTTTTTCGGAGAGCCCTTAAAAAACGCCTCGTAAAATTTACAAGTGGTTACTAGGTTTTGGCCTCAGATTTCTGTATCTGTTTCACGATCATTTGGCAATCTAATAGGCAAGTAGGTGATCAGCCTTCTGTGCCTGACGCATACCGTCGATTTTCTTGGTCTAAGTCTAAGGCAAGCCGGTTTCTTTCACCGTGCGAGCGAATGTTAAATGCGTAAATAGAAAGAAAGTCCATTGGTGCACAGGGATCGAACTTACGAGCTCAGAGATGAGAGTCGCATGCTGAAGCCACTAGGTCAACACTGCTCTACAGAATGTTTTACTAAACTAAGAAATAGTGAAGTGTATAGGCAAGGTAATTTTTTAATTTATAGAACAGCGGGCAAACGGGCAGGAAGCTCACCTGATGTTAAGTGATACCGACGCCCGTGGACACTCTCAATGAGACTCGCTAGTGCGTTGCCGTCCTTTTAAGAATTGGTACACTCTTTTCTTGAAGGACCTTAACTCCAATAGGTTCGAAAATCGAAACCTGTTACTATATACAGAACATTTTTATCACAGTCGAATTTCACTCACGACTTTTGAAAATCGCTTAAATGCGGCAAGACTTAAATATTTTACTTAAGCTTATTCCTTCGGGATTTTACCGCTATAATAAAAAAACAATCAATCATAGCTTGATAAGATAATGAGGCGCGTTTATATTTTTATGCACCCTCCGTTTATTTAATGAAATGGGAATTTGGGGCACGCAATGGTCTATAAAATACATATTTAGAATATTAATAATATGTTTCCGCTACAGTAGCTCCGTTGGTCAAATTAAATACGTTTAAACATATATCAAAGATTACATTTTATGTTAGACTATTACTGTTTATTTTAACTAGTGTTGGCTTATGCTATGGATTATGGTAACGCAACGTTCCCTTCCATAAGAAGTTATCACTTCAAAAAACATCACAAAGAAATACGCGGGCTAGGACTTCTTATTAATGTGTGTTTTATTATACGGTACAAATTTAAAAGCCTTTTATTGTTTTGAATTAACCATGGTTGTGAATTTATAATTATTATGTTAAGTAGATGATCAGTCTTTTATAATGCTATTGTTTCGCTGAGAATCGAAAGAGGAAGTGTCTGATAAATTGTTAACTATTCACATATTTATTACATAATACCACTATATTGTCTGAAACAATTTCCAGTAAATATCAATAAAAACTTATAATGAGCCGGTAAATAATATGATACGGTCGAGAATTGTATTTTTTACAATGGACGTAATGAGAGCGTGCGTGTCGAATGTCATCTTGCTGACTCACTGATTGATTTCGGCTCTTTTGTGTTGGCTTTTGTGCCGAAACCATCATTATAAAATGTTACTAGTATTATATATTAGAAACAAAAACCTCGGCGATACTTTTATCGTATTATTTGAGATCGAGGAAGCCGAAAGAATAAAACTTCAGGATATATTAAATTCGAACGGTGCCCGTATGAACCACGAGATCAGTCGTCAAACTAGTATAAACTTTAATACTAATACCTCTTAAACTAATATGCAATATACACACGCAATTGTGTCCCTACACTTGTTTATTAACGTAAATACTTATTATTTTATAGATATTATATCCCATAACAATATTACTTAATTCTCGTTTATTAAAGAAGTCCTTTCAAAATGACTGGTACTTGTATGAATCAGATACAATAATTGTCTATGAAACATAGTATGTTATTCGGACGGAATGACTTTTGTAAAGACATCTTTATTTCGTAAAATAGGCTTTAATATAATAAATATGGCTCACCTTTACATATATACCTCTTATATATACCTCTTCCCTAATACGGAAGATACTTTATTATAGATTTGTATGAATTTTGATTTGCTAAGACTATATCCAATGGGTTGCCGAAAAATGTTTCATTTTCTACTTAAAAAAATAAAAAAGAGCAGTATTGGCCAAGTGGCTTTAGCGTGCCACTCTCATTCCTGCGGTCGTAGGTTCGATCCCCGGCTGGGCACAATGGACTTTCTTTATATGTGCGTAATTAACATTCGCTCGAACGGTGAAGGAAAACATCGTGAGGAAACCGGCTTGTCTTAGACCCAAAAAGTCGACGGCGTGCCTCAACCACAGTGGGCTGATCACCAACTTGCCTATCAGATTAACACATGATCATGAATCAGATACAGAAATCTGAGGCCCAGACCTACAAGGTTGTAGCCAATGATTTATTTTCGTATTTCGTACTTGGAATACACAAAATTAAGTATGTTTTATGTTTCTTATATCTTTTTTAACAGACTCCCAATATGCTACCATTTCCAGACGCAAAAATCTAGATTTTTAGAAGTTAGCTAAAATGTATGGCATCAATTGCGTACATAAATTAATTTTATCGACTTTTATTGCATGGTAACGTTTGTACCGTTGTTGTCACCATAGTTACGATTCTATATGGTAACATCGTAACCATGCTAACGTAAGTATATCTTTATATGTATAATTCTACTTGTACATGTGTATTTCACTGAACTCCTCTTAAATGGCTGGACCCATTTGAAATATTTTTTTGTATACGTTTGGGTGGCGCCCTGGATGGTTTAGATTCACAAATCAGACGGCAGATGGCGCTGCAGTCCAGTATCCAGCACATAGTAATAGCACTAAACGTCTGGACAGATTTTTTTGAAATTTTTTGTGTGTTCAAATGGAGTCGAGAATAATTTAAATTATAAGATTTTTTTAATAAATTTAATAAATTTTAAGTTTTATTTACATTATTTAAATCAAGAGGAATGAATGAATGAAGG